CTTTAATATATTGACTATTATTCCAGTGAAAAACACACGCAGCACAGGACGTTTTCAATACTATCTTAAGTGATACGACAGCTATAACAAAATATAGGACTGATCAAACAATTAAGGGTGACGCAATCAAGTAAAATAGAAGTTGGAGAGACATAAATATGGAGTTGTCAGGATATAACGAAACTGTTATTTCTAAATATAATACAATATACGCAGAGAAGAATTTAATTTCACTAATATTCATGTTTCTAATGATGATAATTGGGATTCTCGGAAACTTGCTTGTGCTGATTGTGTACTACTCAACCGCCAATTGCTATAGTCAGACTCTTGCTGCTATAGACTTTTTTAGTTGTCTTCTAGTCCATCCCTTCATCATAGGCACCTTTATCAACAGGTACGACCAGATTGGTGTAATTTGTAAAATATTCAAATTTCTAAAATACACCAGTTTTGCTGTGCAGATATTTCTGCTGCTGTCTATAGCTATAGACAGATACTACGCTGTGTGTCGTCCTCTGATGTCGGTTAGAATACGAAAGAAAAGAATGATTATTTTGATTTCGGTATCCACCTTTGTAGGAACTGTCATATGTTTACCAGTAATAGAGATTTATGGTATAAACACTACTGCTACTGTTATTGGTGATGTGCAATTTCATGGGCGAACATGCAGCACACAAATGAAATACAAAAACAATGTGCTTGTTTCTATTTACAACTTATGCTTAATGATAGTAGTTTTCATCACTTTTATAATCATCATGTTTTTGTATGGGAAAATAGCAAGAACTGCCTATTTGAGTTCAAGTCGAATTGGAAATTCCTCAAAAATCAGAAATAAAAATCCAGTAAAAAGATCGCTTACAAAATTTACAACAAAGGATCAGACACCGCATCGTGATGAAGAGCCACGTGATGAAGTTGTCGATAGCAACCCAAAGCTTAAATTCACAGGTGCTATTGACCAAGAGCTATCAGTTCATCTTGGGAATAGTGAAATGTCATCAACACAATCTAAGGCAGAAATGTCTATTAAAACATATGATGTGATGAAAACCAATTCAACAGCAATTGATGGGATAAAAAACTCAACCAAAACTTTACTAACACTTGATGGGACACATAACCCTTTAACAGCACAATGTGAGACACAAAACCCTTTACCAATGATTGAAGGGACAAGTAACCTTTTAACTGCACATTGCGAGACACAAAACCCTTTACCAATGATTGAAGCGACAAACAACCTTTTAACTGCACATTGCGAGACACAAAACCCTTTACCAATGATTGAAGGGACAAGTAACCCTTTACCAATGATTGAAGCGACAAACAACCCTTTAACGCCACATGGCGAGATACAAAACCCTTTACCAATGATTGAAGCAACAAACAACCCTTTAACGCCACATGACAAGATGCAAAACCCTTTACCAATGATTGTAGCAACAAACAACCCTTTAACGCCACATGACAAGATACAAAACCCTTTACCAATGATTGAAGGGACAAGTAACCCTTTACCAATGATTGAAGCGACAAACAACCCTTTAATGCCACATGGCGAGATACAAAACCCTTTACCAATGATTGAAGCAACAAACAACCATTTAACGCCACATGACGAGATACAAAACCCTTTACCAATGATTGAAGCAACAAACAACCATTTAACGCCACATGACAAGATACAAAACCCTTTACCAATGATTGAAGCGACAAACAACCCTTTAACGCCACATGACAAGATACAAAACCCTTTACCAATGATTGAAGCGACAAACAATCCTTTAATGCCACATGGCGAGATAAAAAACCCTTTACCAATGATTGAAGCGACAAACAATCCTTTAACACCACATGGCGAGATACAAAACCCTTTACCAATGATTGAAGCAACAAACAACCCTTTAACGCCACATGACAAGATACAAAACCCTTTACCAATGATTGAAGGGACACGTAACCCTTTACCAATGATTGAAGCGACAAACAACCCTTTAACACCACATGACAAGAAACAAAACCCTTTACCAATGATTGAAGGGACAACTAACCCTTTACCAATGACTGAAGCGACAAACAATCCTTTAACGCCACATGGCGAGATACAAAACCCTTTACCAATGATTGAAGCGACAAACAATCCTTTAACGCCACATGGCGAGATACAAAACCTTTTACCAATGATTGAAGCGACAAACAATCCTTTAACGCCACATGGCGAGATACAAAACCCTTTACCAATGATTGAAGCAACAAACAATCCTTTAACGCCACATGGCGAGATACAAAACCCTTTACCAATGATTGAAGCAACAAACAATCCTTTAACGCCACATGGCGAGATACAAAACCCTTTACCAATGATTGAAGAGGCAAATAACCCTTTACCAGCACTTGCTGGAAGTTTAAACCCTTTACATGAACACAACACACAAATCCAACTCCAGGCACATGATCATATACAGATGGTTGATGTAAATTTTGACCAAATAAATACAAGAAACATTCCTGCAGAAAATGAAAGGTCCAAAACGAGACAAATTGAGGACCCACGAACTGCTGAAAATAAAGTTACCACATATACAACACCCAATATTAAAAACAGTGGTTTGAAAGCTACAAAAATATAATTTCTAGTAACTGCGATATTTCTACTTTCGTGGATTCCATATTGGGTTATAACAATAGGAGAATTGACCAATGAAGAATTGTTTCACAAAAAGACAGAACTTGAATCGCCATTGCAGAGTCTACTCCGCCGTTTCCTTCACCTTAACAATGCCATTAATCCAATATTGTATACAGTTGGACACAAACATTTTGTGCTTGATTGTAAAGCATGCTTTAGAAAGATTAAAAGTCGTTTAATGTAGAAGATTGTGATTCATAAAAAAATTGTATGAGTTTAAGATGAATACATGTACTTTGCTTTGCTTAATGCCTGTACAAATATATTTAATAGTTGAAATAGTTCTCTGTAAATGGAAACCTCCATGTAAGTAGGACGATTTTCCAAGTCCTATTTCCATTAAAGAAGTAATTAAGGCAACAAAACATGGGGTTTCCATTCATTTCACAAGGTGGCAAATCCCATGTTACATGATCAAACCTCAAATACAAATGCGTTTTGAAATATGCATTTTTCATGTCAGAAAGATAATATTGTTAGATATTCAGAAATATTGTGTATTTAGTGTTGTCTTTCAATTCTCGTAATTACTTTGTTTTGTGCCCAGGATGGATATGAAAGGAAATACAGCCAATGCAGGTTGATATAACAATGATATAATTTTTGAAATAGTGCATGATCAAAATAGTAAATAAATACACCTAATCATAGGGATCATTGTATAAAATATCAAACTACATGACTGATATGGGTACTGATTCCAATTACATAGTAGTTTCATTTATCAATTATCATGTTTAGTTTACACGCAACTGACACCCATATGGATGTATATACATGTAGTTACAATTAATGATAATGTTGTGTATGCATTACATTGTACATTGGTAACCTGTCATCACTTTCCTAATTGCTTTATAAGTATACGCACTGGCGGATCCAGAATCTAACAAGGGGGGGGGGGGGGCAAAAAGTCAGAAAAACAATTTGGTCCCCTAAAATAATGTTGAGCACCTTTTGAAAAATTAATGCCCATTTTTTGATAATTTTGCCTCAAAGGCCAAATTACACTCAAAAGGCCTATTTTTTGAGGCCCTACAAAATATTTGGGGCACTAAAAAAAATTTCTGGGCCCAAAAAAGGGGGGGGGGGGGCTGGATCTAGTGGTCGGACTCGCCTGAAAATCTCCACTTGAGTGGGCCATGAAAAACCACGATTATATTCGCGATTTGACTTAGTTGAGTTACTTCCGGTTTCAGTTTCCCAAGTAGCGGCAGAATTCATCAATTTGATCAAGTCTTTCAAGTGCCTCTATACTTTTTTTTATTAAAATTTCCAGCTGTTGGATATTCCCAGAATGCATCAAACCGGAAATGAAACTTTTGCATAATAAAAATCATACTCCCGTGCAGTGATATATCACTGCGGCGGGCAGGTATCTCACCGTAAGCATGGTAACATCGTAATAAACAACTGATGTGATTGGCTCTAGTCCCATGCTCAGGTCGCGTGATTGTAAAGTTTAGACAATTTCATTGGTTGAATTGCGCGTATTAACTAATAAACAACACGTGCGGTAAACTTTTATCAACATAACTTTTACTCAGAATTCCTTCCGCGGTGATTTCCTCTTATATTTCATTGATTTGGGAATATTTTGACAAAATAATTATTGGTGAACATAAAAGAACATATATTTTATAAGTTGTGTGAAAAACAAGTACATCTGTGACAAAAAGGGGGACTATCTTCCCCAAATTTTGGGGATTCCATAATCTGCCCGCCGCAGTGTCTATACCGAGACACTGCATAGGAGTTCGAATAAAAATAACGAACGCAGAATAAAATCCAAGTATGTTTGTCTTCCGCACATGGCATTAAATAGAAAGTTAAGTTGTATATACAGATTAAGCAGAACATTACAACTATAAGCATGGAAATTGTGAATAGGAGAGAGGAATCGCGAGTCAAGGTAAGGTGAAAACGAGTGAAAAATTTTTTTTTGGTAAAAATTTCAAATCGTGAGTTCAAGTTTTCAACTCAATCAACTGATTTTTAGGACAAATATGAGTAAAACTCGAGTACACGAGTCAGTCTTCCAATCACTAGCTGGATCCCCAGTGAAATGAGTATATGCTATATAACCCCTGCATTAATAATAAATATAATGTACATCAAGCCTTCTTGATTCTTTATTTATGCTAGGGTATGTGAACTTTCTGGTTTTGATTTTTGCTACAATTTGAAATTTATAAATGGAGCTTTTCATTTTACTTGTATGTATTTCAATCATTTTCATTTGGTTTGACAAATTGATACTATATTCTGATAAAATTCAAATTGAAATGATCCAATTACTTACGGTGCTCCCTGCGAAGCCAGGGTGGTTCCACCCTAGCACACTATAACCTGCTTCTAGGGGAGTACATGCACACCCTATCTCATAGAACCCTGCATTGCCTTCACTTGTAACTACCTACAAAAATGATCATATTGCAATTATAATAACAACATACATGTCACAACCTACCATTTGATACAGCTACTTGTTTCAATATGTATAAGAAAACTATATGACAACTTATCCATAATTCAATTTTGATCAATAGGCTCAGATAATTATGCCACACCCTGCAAGACAGATACCCAAGTGGAGGCATTCTGTATATCCCTCCAAACTTTATAGTTACAAATTCTATTCAATAAGATGATTACCTAAATGAAATATTTATTGATTGTACTAACCAGTGTCTGTCCATTGATTGATGAGGTATGTCTCCTGTCTACAAACATTGTATCAATTTCATTTAGGTCTTCTGACAAGAGTTTAGTCCTGATCCCCTGCCTCTGAAATATACAATGCAACAATATATTTTAACCCTGAACCCTCCTCTATGGAATATATAAGGGTTATGTACTGGGAGGTTTTGGATACAGGGTTTATCCTAAGGGAAATATGTGTATCTCACGAGGGACCGCAGGGACCGAGGGAGAGGGACCGCTAGGACCGAGGGAGATACACATATTTCCCGCGGGATAAACCCTGTATCCAAAACCAACCGTACATAACTGGTGTATCTCATACTTGAGTGGGTTTGGGGTAGATATAACCTTTACCACCTTTTTCAAATGACAAGATAGGCCTATACTTTAAAAGCACAATTTATATTTAACATTTTCATAATATTCATTCAGTTCAATACAATAGAATTGTAACATTTAAACTTTTTGAAAAATTTTAAACTTCTGAAATTTAAATTTTTTAAATTTTTAAACTTTTTTAAACTTTTGAAAAAATTCCCGGGAGCGGGATGGATATATTATATCTGCCCGCATTTGGCCTAGAGCGGGACATATACAATATATCCTGCCCACTCCTCAGATATGATATATATTCCCGGGTGATATCTACCCCAAACCCACTCAAGTATGAGATACACAGTATAATGCACTTTAGTCCTAATCCCCAGTCTCTGGAATATACAATGCAACAATATATTTTAACCCTGAACCCTCTCTATGGAATATACAGTATAATACACTTACTTTAGTCCCAATCCCCTGTCTCTGGAATATACAATGCAACAATATATTTTAACCCTGAACCCTCTCTATGGAACACTTTAGTCCTAATCCCCTGTCTCTGGAATATACAATGCAACAATATATTTTAACCCTGAACCCTCTCTATGGAACACTTTAGTCCTAATCCCCTGTCTCTGGAATATACAATGCAACAATATATTTTAACCCGGAACCCTCTCTATGGAACACTTTAGTCCTAATCCCCTGTCTCTGGAATATACAATGCAACAATATATTTTAACCCTGAACCCTCTCTATGGAACACTTTAGTCCTAATCCCATCTCTGGAATATACAATGCAACAATATATTTTAACCCTGAACCCTCTCTATGGAACATTTTAGTCCTAATCCCCTGTCTCTGGAATATACAATGCAACAATATATTTTAACCCTGAACCCTCTCTATGGAACACTTTAGTCCTAATCCCATCTCTGGAATATACAATGCAACAATATATTTTAACCCTGAACCCTCTCTATGGAACACTTTAGTCCTAATCCCATCTCTGGAATATACAATGCAACAATATATTTTAACCCTGAACCCTCTCTATGGAACACTTTAGTCCTAATCCCCTGTCTCTGGAATATACAATGCAACAATATATTTTAACCCTGAACCCTCTCTGTGGAACACTTTAGTCCTAATCCCCTGTCTCTGGAATATACAATGCAACAATATATTTTAACCCTGAACCCTCTCTATGGAACACTTTAGTCCTAATCCCCTGTCTCTGGAATATACAATGCAACAATATATTTTAACCCTGAACCCTCTCTATGGAACACTTTAGTCCTAATCCCCTGTCTCTGGAATATACAATGCAACAATATATTTTAACCCTGAACCCTCTCTATGGAACACTTTAGTCCTGATCCCCTGTCTCTTGAAAATGCAATTTAGACTTCTGGCTCTGAAATATACAATATATTTTAGGCCCTTACACCCTTGTTTCTGGAATAAAAATTACAATTTAGTCCTTATCTCTTATCTCTGGGTTATACAATACAGTTTAGTCCTAAGTTCAGATTTTTAGAGATACCATCTATAAGACATTTTGTCAGCAACATATACATACGTTGACACACTGAATGTATAGATGGCATGACTATGCAGTAGTCATGGTAACATCCAATGTGTAATAGATAAGATATAAGATAAATAGAAGTAGGATTTAATGAAAGTGACCTACCTCTTCTACCAGTTTCTTGCGTCCTTCCATCAACATGGGACCTACAGGAAGAAAAGAAAGTTATAAGCAGATGTTTCAAGTTCATCGGGAAAACATTCTATTGTTACAAATTAACACCCAAAACTCTTACCTTTTCAATAATGTGGGGTTAATTTTTTTCCAAAATCAAAATATTTCTTTAGAGCCCCACATGCAAGAAAAACTAGATGTATGGCTGTCAAGTTACAATAATTGAATGCTCCATGATGTAATGGGAACAGTATGAGTGAATTGCCAGGTAAGGAAACGCACTACAACCTCTGGGTTTATCATTCAGAATATCAATATTTTCTTCAGGACATTGTTGTTAAATAAAAGAAATCTATTTCCATGACAACCATGACAAACCAACACCTGATAATAGTCCATACATCAATGCTAATAGACTAGATGCGAGTAGAAAAATCTTGATTTACATAATTAATATTCAAAATCCAGTAAAAGTGATGCCATATTTGAAATTTACATGTTAAAGTACATCTAGATATATTGTTTCGAAAATTGTTTTTCAACTTTGAAAATTTAATTTTATATGAAAATGTGACTTCTATTTCAGGTGGATTCCCATAGATCCCCATGTTACAGAATCACAAGTAAAGTAACTTTTCTGTATTGGACAGATAACATTTTCTTTTACTGGACATATTTTAATTTGGATAACTATTAGATACATAAGGGTTATGTGAAAATTGGACCACTAAAACAGATGTTATTTAAGTTAAGGGGAACTTTCCACTATACCCACCATGCTATCTGACCCGAATGAGCCACCTAGTGGTGAAACTGGTAACTACCTACTTGCATCTGTGCTATTGAAATGTACTTGCAAATATTCCCTTATAAAACAAGCAAATATGTGCAAATCGTGTGCATAGAAGTAAAATGACTTACTGACTAATGCATTCATAAGACCCGTAGCACCAGGATACACCATTCTTCTACCAAATGTATGGGCACCTATATAACTAGAAAAAATCAAACTTTTTAGGCTTGCTCTATTGCCAGAATTCTGTATGAACCCATTTCTCATTTTTTTCATCTCTAATTTTGTGAAGTACATAATATTTTAAAAATAGTTGTTTTTCACATTGGTTTAATAAATATGAATTATAGGGATTTGATTAGTTGATTTTCAAATATTGCCATTTGTTATTATCATTTTCATGCTTTGACGATTTATTCACATTTCTCACCTGATTACGTCACATGGAATTCTTGTGAAACTATCTGCGAAAGACCGTGTCCTTTTAGGCACTTGGATCTTGGGTTTGCTCCCATCTCTGAAAAAATTGCAACAAGAAAACACTTAAAGAGGTAAGGTCAATTAGCAATGTCTTAATTTTTCTGCTAAGCCATTTTCAAGGTCGGAGCTTGAGGTGGAGTTTCACTTTTGAAATTTTACATGCTGTTTCATATAAGTTTTAATGGAGATGGTGTGATCTAATGCTTTATTTAATTACTCTCAGACAAAACTTTGATATTTTGGCAAGGTGACTTCAAGCTCACTATGACTCCTCCATCCTTTGGTCCTCACCCCTTCTAACAGTCCACCCAGTTGTCCTCATCCCCTTTGGCCTTCCACACAGTTGTCCTCATTCCCTTTAGCCTTCCACCCAGTTGTCCTCATTCCCTTTGGCCTTCCACCCAGTTGTCTTCACCCCTTTGGCCTTCCACCCAGTTGACCTCACCCCTTTTGCCTTCCACCCAGTTGACCTCACCCCTTTGGCCTTCCACCAAGTTGTCCTCACCCCTTTTGGCCTTCCACCCAGTTGACCTTACCCCTTTTGCCTTCCACCCAGTTGACCTCACCCCTTTGGCCTTCCACCCAGTTGTCCTCACCCCTTTGGCCTTCCACCCAGTTGTCCTCACCCCTTTGGCATTCCACCCAGTTGTCCTCATCCCCATTTGGCCTTCCACCCAGTTGTCCTCACCCCTTTTGGCCTTCAACCCAGTTGTCCTCACCCCCTTTGGCCCTCCACCCAGTTGTCCTCACCCCCTTTAGCCCTCCAATCAGTTGTCCTCACCCCTTTTGGCCTTCCACCCAGTTGTCCTCACCCCTTTTGGCCCTCCACCCAGTTGTCCTCACCCCTTTTGGCCTTCCACCCAGTTGCCCCCACCCCCTTTGGCCCTCCAACCAGTTGTCCTCACCCCTTTTGGCCTTCCACCCAATTGTCCTCACCCCTTTTGGCCCTCCACCCAGTTGCCCTCACCCCCTTTGCCCCTCCACACAGTTGTCCCTGTGCCCTTGGGCCCTCCAACATGTTGTCCCCAACCCCTTTGGCCCTCCACCCAGTTGCCCCCAACCCCTTCGGCCCTCCACCCAGTTGCCCTCACCCCCTTTGCCCCTCAACACAGTTGTCCCTGTGCCCTTGGGCCCTCCACCATGTTGCCCCCACCCCCTTTAGCCCTCCATCCAGATGCCCTCACCTCCTTTAGCCCTCCATCCAGATGCCCTCACCTCCTTTGGCCCTCCATCCAGATGCCCTCACCCCTTTGGCCCCTTCATCTTAACTGTAACTTACCCTCTCTGCCCCTCAGCCCAGCTGTATTCTACTGGCCAAGCGAAGAAATCAAAGTCATATCGACTCAACAAGGCCTGAAAAAAGTGTGAAGAATTTATATTTCCAAATAGAGTACACACAGCTTTGCAGCCATTGATAATACAAAATAATAGAAGATGGAGTATCAATTTAGATTTTAATCACATTTATTTATAAACATAGAATTAGCATCCTTTAAGGGCTTGGTGGGTTGGTTCAAAATTTGAAAGATGGTTGTTAGAGATTGTTTAGTGGTTGGAGTTTTCATATTTTTGTAACAGATTCCCAGAAATTTGTTTATGACCTCTATCATATAATTAATGCATGAGTGTTTTGATTGACAATACAGCTTCTCATGTTTGAATACGAAAACATCCTTTGAGTGACACTGCTAAAAGAGTCAACTGGATAAAAATGAATTACTTACTTTATTCTGCAAAGTGAAGTTCTCTTGTGCATTGTGAAGGATTGCTACAAAGGCAACATAATCTGGATTGTTGTACCTCCCAAGACCTGAATAGTAAAACATGTTATTGTACAAACATGGAAATAAATGTATTTTGAAAAATGAAAGTTTCTTAGAAAGCAAAGGAGGCAGACAGAATTTGATTCAAATCACAAGTGATCCGCTCGTCGAAGGACATTTTGTTACCGAAACGAACCGTTTCGGTAGCAAGCGTAATCGAGTGGATCACCAGTGCAAATATAGCATTTAGGTAAAATGTAAATAGGCATAAAATGTTACTATCATATAAATCCTTGAAAATAACTAGACTCACTGTACATAAGGATATAGTTGTTTAATATTGCACACGTAGTGGGGGTAACATTCTAAAACTGAAATATCAAATATCAGATACTTCTATAGTATCTCCATATTTTATGTTCACGACTATTTATTATTTACCTCTAAGCCAGTACGAAAAACAAAGAACAAGTCCCGCAATTGATGCATACTCGATTAGATAGATGGCACCCTCTCTTGTGAAGAATCCACGTCGATACATGATTGGCAGTAAGACTGGAGATGTCCAATACGATAGTGACCAAGCAAACTTCATCTGAAATGTAATCATATTTTTTATTTTAATTTTAAATGCATTTATGAGAATGTATGAGTTTATGCCGATTGTTAAGAGTCACCTAATTGGGCGTGGGAGAAGTCCTCAAAAGGCCTTACCAAGTTCTCCTTTTTTGGGCAATTACTACCCTAAAATAATTCTAACAAATTGACCTTTTTTGGAAATATGCTGAAATCATCCTAATGAATTTATTTATTTTTTCATAAAAAATTCCCCCCTTTTGCCCGAAAATCTATTTTTAGAGATCCCATATCTTAATGAATTCCCATATTTCGAAAAATGCCTTATAGCAGCCAAAACAAAGTCCATCATTTTTGGAAATGCCCTAAAATGGCTATAACTGACTTTTACTCTTGCTGCTGAGCAGTCTGATGGTATATTGAATATTTCGGAATTAAATTCTGCGATATAAGAATATTGACCAAATATTCTACAAGGCGAGGCCACTGGACTGTATAAATTGCTTTTAATCTTGCGAGGCAATAAATGTGAACCAATAAATATGCAACTGGGCAAAAAGTCTGAAGATAACCAATAAATCAATTCCCAAATCTCCTCAAGCTGAATTTCTTCAAGTGATAAATCAAAGAATGATTTTGTGATGTGTGGCAAAAGAAAGCTGCAAATAGACTGTAAGATAGATGAATAAGACCTGATTTTAATTCGTTTTTATTTTGCTTCATTCAATAGCATCTATTTTGCAAATTTTGATGGAATTAGGTTGAACTTCCCAAAATACACAGAATTTTGTGACAATCTGTCAAAGATTTAGTAATAAACCTTAATCAATAAATAGTCCTGGTGAATAAGAATTTCCAGAGTATTGATTCAATTATCACAAATTGTTTTCTTGAAATATTTGTTTTAAACAAATATACAGGGTGGGTGAGGTTTTAATTTTTAACAAGGCATTAACATGCAAAATGTTACTACCTGCCATTTGTTACAGACACTGAACTTGTATTGTTAAGGTGTGGACAACTCAGTCAAACACCCTCAAGTGCTTTATATAACAAACGAAGTGCCTGAACCTGGGATCGAACCCGGGACCTAGCGCTGACAGATAGACTTTACAGAGTGATGTTCCTTCCAGATTGAATCAATAAACATGAGACAATCATATCTAATGAACAGATGGAATATACCTTTAAATGGTACCTACCCATTTTATGACAGTGTTACATGTACTCTCCAAGCCATTTGGCGTGTAAACCATGCCCTGGAAATAAAAAGAACATTTCTTTTTCATCAATACAGAATTCTTCCATCCCTCCTTTTTACCTGTGAAGTTGAAGTTACTAACTAAAAATTACAAAAGGTCTTAGTTAAGCTTTAATACGTGTACTGTTTATGAACCCCTATTCTTATGATTTGAAAATGGATTCTAGCAATACTATTCCACATGAATCTACTTGTTGAGACTCAATTAACTTGTACATACAATTTATTTAAATATTTTATTAAAAATGTCTCGTATATAAGGTGATATCATAGCAAAAAATTGGTAATTCATATCTTCGTCAATTTTTCAGAAAGCCTCGGGAAATTAGATCTTCGCCAATTTTCCAATTATCCCAATTTGAAAAGAATGCATAACAGCTCTGCCAAGGAGTTTGCTTATTCTAGTAAGAGACCTGTCAATCATTGTGTTGAGCAATGTTAGTTAAATAAAAAAAAATAGAATTGGGTTTTGTAATTTTATATAAATTATTCCTTGTCTTCAAAAATTCTTTGTGATTGTACAGTTGTAAAAGGTAAACTCCCCTCTAAAAGTTTGGAAACAATATACAGGTACACTCCCTTAAGTTTGGTCACAGGGTTTCACTAGAATAGAGAAAATAACAACAGGCAAAATCAATGGAAATCATTAATTTAACATGGAAAATTTGAAACGTCCCTAAAAAACAACAGGCGATTTTACATTAACACTATCTTAACATTATATGCTGGGTTTATGTTATTTTTGAAATTTCATAACATCATTTTATATACAACTACCTGACAGAGGCAAATAACTACCTGAAAATTGGTCAGGTAGTTATTTTGGCACCAGGCAAAAAATGTGAGTGTTGAAGCCTGTATGCTGTGTTTCTTTTTATAGTATTTAATTGTGCCTCAGGAAATTCAGTCTATTGGATATAGACTAAGTAGTAGAGGATATAGGCTAAAGGTCCTTTAAGGTACAGCTGGAAAATAACATTTTGGTAAAAAATTGCTATACCTGCACATTGCTATATCTGGTACAAAATATGAAGGCATGTGTTAATTTACTTGCTTTTTTCAGGAATGTATCATTACAATGTCTTCTTTTAGAATATCTGGTAAGAGTTTAATTGGAACTCCAGGAAATTCTGATATTTCACACTTTGTATTTTTCCAAATTTTCTTTCAAAGTTTCTAGACAACACAGGAGCTACCATTGACCTGTTTCCAGGTTTACTAAAAGGAGACACTGTAATGATACTTTCCTGAAAAAAGCAAGGAAATACACACATGCCTTCATACTTAATTTTGTACCAGAAAATAACATATGCAGCCTATAGCAATTTTTTACCAAAATGTTACTTTCCAACTGAGCCTTAATAATTCCAATCAAACTTTCCAAACCTTTCCAAACAACTGAGAGGCTATTGCTCCTGTTCTGTTCATCATAGGATGAATCCTCCAAGAGACATCATTCACTTATGAACGAAGGAACATAAGTGGATGATGTCTGCATTGCCCCGGAATGCATCTGGTATGACTGGTCAACAAACTTATTCAATCAGAGGCCAATACCATTGCCTTGCAGTGTTAATACTTAAATATGTCTAGAAAGTAATATGATCTAAAGTGGGAGACAAAAATAAATCTCAACCCTCAAAAGTTGTCACAATGAGCTAAATTCTAAGTTTTGTGTCTCAAACTCTCCCAGGCGGTAGAAAAATAATTCCCAATCACTTTAAGTAGCACAATAAATGAATCCAAAGCTTCATACCTGCAAATAATGGATAAATCCCTTCCAAATTGAATGAATGTTTTCATGAATCGCCATGTTTGTGATCCAAGGAGGATTGACTCCCAGAATGCAACATCAAGTAACCTTATTTCAGGGCTTGCATTAACGGCGTCCCGTACATGTTAAGGACTCAAAAATAATTTGGAGGACGCAAAAATTGGAAATATTTCCATTTTTTGGATGCAAAATTTTTTTAGGTCAATACTACAATGTGTTTACAACGATACCTAACAAAAACAAATAATTATGATCTCTCACCTTTATTTGAATCGTAAATAAGGCTCAACATGTTGAATATTTACAAATAATCATGATTCTCTCGAATTTTTTTGACTTTGTTTATTTTTAGATTTGAAACCATGACACGCCACAGTTTTTCCTATTCAGAAACAAATATTAGGTTATTCATGAAATAAAATGTATTCATTGTCGAATGAACGAACATGCATTTATTCAGTCCGTACTTAATGTTTACTTCCGTTTTAAATTCGCGGCAAGAAATCAAAAACTGAAAGGTGTTTTGGTAAAAAATGCTTTTAAAATAAAGTTATACCTCAAAACAGGCTAGAAATAGGGGACACACTTTTTTTCAAAGGACACACTTTTTAAAAAAAAATTGCGTCCTTGGGACTCACAAATTTTCTAACCTAATGCAAGCGCTGTTATTTACTCGTGACAGATTTCAAAATGGCAGAACAGCATTTTGAAAGCTGACACGTGTCATGTTGCATTCTGGGAGCCAATCCACATTGCGGCGTAATCGGGCTCCAAAATCACCTCAACATTTGAAGAGTCGGCATAAACATGTGAATTTCACTTCAAATTTTTAAGTTCTTATTTCTCATTATGGACACGAATTGCAATATACCTGGACTTACTAGGACGGAGAAAATAGAGCACTGAATACACTGAGGTAAGAATTTATTACGTGAGCGACAGCATGTAATTTCCATAGCTTTTGTAATTCTTTATGTCCCCACTGTACCAGTATTTTTCCACAAGTTAAAATTTGCTTCCATTCATGATTCATTTCAATTCAATGGAAATTTTTTATCCCGTGCCAGGACTATAGTCCTGCATTGAGAGCATTCTTTTGCCTGTACGATTACAACTTGGGAGAATTATCTACGCCCCTTACACTTAAGATACCTACTTCAATTGATTCCTGGATATTTTAGCATTCTTTTCGTGTAGTTGAATTCACAATTGTTTGGGTATATCGGCAGAACGAGAGATATTCCATCACTTTCCAAGATGGTGGTTGGATTTATAAGGGGATTCCCCGTTTGACTGACCCGGATGTTCCACCAAAAATAGAGGAATTTGACGGTTGAAATGAGTTAAATATTACACGCCTATATTGTGATTAAAAACGAAAATTTCTTTGTTCTGGCGATAAACCCAGACAATTGTGGATTCAACTACAAGAAAAGAATGCTAAAATACCAAGGAATCTATTGAAATAGGTATCTTAAGTGTAAGAAGCGTAGAAAATTCTCCCATGTTGTAATCGTACAGGCAAAAGAATGCTCTCACTGCAGGACTATAGTCCTGGCACGGGATAAGAAATTTTATTTGCATTTTTTTGCAAATTATTTTACAAAATGCACTTTTTCTTCGTCATTATCGCTTCGATGATTTTGAAATTTTGACATCACGTTCGTACTTCATTTATATACAATGTAGCATTAACATCAAGTATGTTACTTACATTTGAACCGGCAGTTTGGTAAACTCTGTATAAATTTGGACCGAGAATGCATTTTAACAAGGTCGCCATCTTTGCGCAAACGTGAGCTGAAAATAATAACCAAGCAAAAAGTAAATTACGTCAAATCTGGCGAATTAGTAATAAAACTTTCAAAAATAACTTACATTATAATCATTATATGATTTCACAAGTCTATATTTGATATATATACGCAATATTGTCTCAAATTGTGAGATAATACGTTATGCAAAATTAATTAAAACTGACTATTTGCTTACACAAGACGAAACATTTTGACAAAGTTTTCACAACAAACCCGGATATTTTGATCGTGGAAAATTTTGATCAGAGACTAGGGTCTATTTCAACATCTCATTTGTGAAAATTGTGACTAGTGTGTTTATAAACAACTGGTGAAAAAACTAGCGAATACATACAACACAAAACCAACACTGTGGTGAGTTATAGTTATAGGTTATAGATTTTTGTGCACAACTTGTTTTTTCCTCAATGAATTTGAGTTGAGTTCTGGAGACCTTGGACTCTAAATATTATGCTTGGCCTTGTCGATGCCTATTTACAATTTTATTTCACAGTGGGTGAGACACGTTAAATTAATTTTCAGGTTATCGAACATATGTAACAAAAAAAAAGGCACATTTTGTATCGAGTGAGTGATATATTAGATAAATGTGACAAGGTTGTTTAGTGGTGTAACCAGTATCTGTCTAATAAATGTATACATTTTGTGATAAAGTCTAATGTGTCATTTCTAGAACTACTGGTTAAACCAATTTTATTTCATCTCCCTGATATTTGTAATCAAATTAGAACTGTTCCCTTCTAGGATCATCCTAGGATCATCCTAGGATCATCATCCTAGGTTCCCTTTGATTCCTGGGCCTTTGATGAAGAATTTTTAGCTTTAAATAAAGAACATGGAGATCGATATAAATAAAACCATATATAGAAATCAAAGAATCTTTGTAAAAGTATAGATTGTATAGAGAGGTAAATGTTGGTTTTGACTTACATGTTTATACTCTTTCACTGGCGGATCTGGGGGGGGGAGCGCACTCCCCCCCCCCCTTGGGTGGGCCCAGAAAAAAAATTGGGCCCAAAAAAAAATTTGGGGCCAAAAAGTAGGTTTTTTTGGTCATTACTGGGCCAAAATGGACCTCAAAATTTCAAAATTATTTTCCACGGAAGTTTTTTTTCTCTGAACTGAAATTTGGGCCCCCCTTGTTGGTTCCCAGATCCGCCCCTGTGTTTACCTCTCTATTCTCATGTGTCTCATTAATGGCATACATGGATATAAGGTCACCCAAAGGTCACATCCAAAACCCCAAAAGCTGAGGTCATTTTTAAAGTAATTGTAGATAACATTTACTTTATATTTTCCTAAGTTTAGTCTCTTTAATTGTTACTATAGGGCTTGTCAAGGTCATGTTTCAAATAGATGGGAATTGTATGTTAAAGGTGCAACAATGAGTGCAGAGGGCCCATTCAACGATCATGGACCAATGTCAAAATATATCTAAGTTTGGATATTTCGTCCAGACTAACATATATTTTTATGATCTCCAAAGAAACCCCCAGGATGAACATTATTTCAGCTGATATTACACTTGAAACATCGTGGATCTTAAAAATATATAAGCGGGACTACCTTTATAGAAGCTTTTAACCGAATTTACACTTCTTAATACTGAAATTGATAGTTTATCCATACATTTTAAGAAAATAGGTATGTCAAAGAAGATGTTAAGCCAAATGTTTCCATGATAGCTCAGAAAAAATAAAAAATTTCGTATTTTCTCTCTGCAGTTCTTGTTGCCCCTTTAATGCTTTCTTTGAGGAGCATTTTTTGCATTGTATTGCTTATTTAAGTGTCCTGGGCAAAAACCTCAGACCTTTGACAGTACAGTAAATCACTTACAATAAACCATAAAAAGACATTTAATTCTTTATTTCATTCAAAACCAGGGTATGGTATAAGATGAAGACGTGAATAACATCACATCTGATACAAAGGAAACATTGATCTTAAAAGCATCAATGCTATTGACAATTCCTTAGATGACGCATATTAGTAAAAGGTTAAACAAACTTATTGAACATCTAGTTTTTACAGATCATTAAACAGTGCAGTGCAATGACCTTTATGATTATCACATAATTTATTCTTGAGAAAGATTAACGATGTAACAACCTCAATCAATTTATCAGGAATCATTTAAAAAAATAAAACATCACAAAGCGGACACAAGTCCAAGTAAATTTGGATTTAGAAATGCTTATTTATAAGTATTTCAGAGAATAATTATGATTATGCAGTTTTGTATAAGTTTGGTAGTCTTTAAATACTGGATTAATGAAAATTAACAGAAACAAACAATACTAGATGACTTACAGGTCTTTTATATTGAACTATGTATCTTGGTCAGTCCAAGAGGGATGTTGGTACTAAAAGGAGGCAGACTAATAGAACAGCCCAAATAACCAAATTTTTGAAATTTTCACAAAACTGGTCAATTTGTTAAAATTATGTATTTGTGAAGAAAAGAATTGCTTTCAGTTTTGCTATAGCATATGTGCATCTTGCATGTGTATTTTGGTGTTCACATGCTTCAATATACCAATAGACGATAACGTTTGATTTAGTTCAGTTTAGCTACCTCCCGTTTGAAGAGCTCTCATGGTACAACTTCGTCTACATCTGGGTTCTTTCCCATAGGATTACACAGGGGTGCTACTTTCAGTGCCGCACTGCGACTCTATTAAATATTTATGTAGAGTTTCATTTGCAGAAACGATTTTTGAACTATAATCCCCAAATCCGAAGAAATCTGTAGTTGGAAATGCCGTCCAATTCCAGTGACATCACTGATATCCCAGAAATTGCTCAGACGCCATCGAAGATCAAAAAAATATCAATAATGTTACTTTGAATCTCCGATTATCTTTCTGATTATTGAATAGATTGGATCATATAACTATGCTTGAGGGCTGATGGAAGATCAGAAGCTGAGAAACGTTCAGAGTAATCGACTGGTTTGACGGGCCAATGAAAATTTGTCATCTGTATTACAAGTTTTTATGAATCAAATATCGTCTTCATTGGTCCAGTATTTGTAAACTACCAGTATGTATTTAACCTAATTAGCAATTAATTATTTAGTTATTATTATATCATTAGTATATCATTATTACATGCTTATAATATGTTACATCTTATCAGATAGAGGTGTTATAAAGGCATTGACCCATTAGGTGGAATTACACCTACGATGTAAAAGCGCTTTAACTCGATTTTACACTGAACGAAAACTATATTTGCGCATGAGCATCAAGCATGTTATTGATTTCCGGTGTGGAGGAAACTTCATAAAACAAAATTCAAATATTGTGCAAAACTCAATCAAATCACCAAAATGTCGAAACAAAGTAGAATTTATTGGGACCACATCAATACTGAGCGTATGCTTTCGATTTGGGCTGACAAAAAGGTCCAGGCCATGATGAACGGCACGTTAAAAATGCGATTGCGTATGACCTGATCTCGCAGGAAATGAAAGTAAGCCTAAGCTTAAGTTAGGATAAATAATTTCTCAAAGATCCAACCCTCCAGTTACCCTATGGGCCTACTGTACAAAGATTATATAACCACAGATTTTGAGAAAAGCTACCCTATATCCTGTACATAGTTCAGCAATGCTAAACTCCCCCAGACTTATTTAACAATTTTGAGATTATTTGATGTCTGGCTGTACATTATCTGATTATGGGTGAAATAGGGATAGGGTCTCATATACATGTAGGGGCAAGGGGGCTTCTGTTCACTGTGAATCAGAAACATCTACATAATGTTCAAACACATATATGCCCATTTGGCGCTGAAATGAAAGTCTCATTTTTGTCTCAAATCAGTCTAAAAGCGCTTTAGAAAAATCAAGTGTAATCACGAAAAGTTGTCTTCAAGGCGCTTTTAAAATTCTGGTGTAATCAGGATTGCGGTTTTCTAGCCTACGTTACCCAAAACGCCTTGAAAACGCCTTTAGCCATGAAATAGGTGTAATTCCACTAATTATTACAAGACCCCAAAAGTAGTAATGGTTTTTCAGTAATTATATATTTTGTTTTAACCCACGGGGCTATTTATTGGAATTACTAAAATTAAACGATCTAGATATTTTGTGCGACTTACAAGTATTTTGCCGTTTACAACGTTCAATCATGGGCTTTCAACTCGATAGATGAAAGTTTTATTTGCTGTTTGTTAGATTGATCTCGAGTTTATAACATCACCACCAAGAATTGTGACGCATGGTTTAAGATGCCATTTTTGTGACTGACAATAGACTAGATGCGGGTAGAAATAATCTTGATTTACCTCATTTAATATTCAAAATTCAGTCAAAGTGATGTCATATTTGAAATCTACATGAAAAGGTACATCTAGAAATATGGTTTCGAAAATTGTTTATCAACTTTGAAAATTTAATTTTTTTTGAAATTGTGACTTCTTGTTCGGGTTGATTCCCCATAGACTCCATGTTACAAAGTGAAATATCTTCTTGCATTGGACAGATAACATTTTCTTTTACTGGACATGTTTTAATTTGCATAACTAATAGATACATAAGGGTTATATGAAAATTGATCCACTAAAACAGATGTCATTTAAGTTAAAGGGAACTTTCGACTATACCCGCCATGCTATCCGACCCGAACGAGTCACCTGGTGGTGAAACTGGTAACTACCTACTCGCATCTGCGTTATTGGCAATTGATGTCAGAATTTGGTGTCTTATTTTCAGTAACCGACCAGTAGGCTTATTGTTTGTTTCTTTGAATATAGAACAAATCATGGGCTTTCAAGGCAACAAATGTTATAAAATATAAAAAGAGGAAAAACTGCAAAATGAGGCTAATCATCGTTCACAGCATCAAAATCTCATATGTGCATGTTCATTCTCCATTAAAAATTGAACTACAGTAAAATATGCCAAGTCCGAATGTCACTGGGTCTGGGCAAAACGTGTCAGTTTAGCACTGAGGTGTTTCACATTTT